ATAGGGTTCTTTGTGTCTAGGATTGCTTCTAAAATGCAGTTTGCAGCCAGGTATGGAGCGCTCAAACCTGACTGAAAAATGAAAAAGCATGTTTCCCTTTCAAAATGACCAGCTTTAACAACTATTGTCCCTCCTCCCTCTTTGTCTATTTAAAGTCGCCTCAGTTTACCAAACAGACTTTTCTACGCTACGCTCCTCTTTTGTCACCCTGGGAACAGCAATCTGTGCTTTATCTGTTCTGATTTTCCCTGAGGCTGGACATCAGCCTCCAGAATGAAGGCTCCTAACCTTACCAATGAGTAGGGGACTCTTCTTTCCCCTCTCTCAAGCCCCAACATTCTGGATGTTCTTCCTGCCGTGTCCTGCCTTGGCAATTCCGTTATCCAGCACCAGCACCTTCCCAGAAAGGCTCGTTATATCTACTAAGCTGGCATTTGGAGGCTTTAGGATTCAAATGCAGAGCCAAATGCCTTCATTAGTCTTTGTAGCCACTAACGAGTCTTGTATGTGACACCTTTGTCATCCTACTTAGGCAGGGGAGCAGTGATTCAAATGTCAACAACGAAGAGTTTATAGATCAACAGTGTTCACTGTCATTGGGTAAATACGAGGGGGCTGATTGAGTATGGTCGAGGTACGTCATCTCTGACACCACTGTTTCTGTCGTTAGAAGGGATCTCAGTAGTCTTGGTATTTGTTTATTTCGTGTTGACTTTTGTCCATTACCAAAAAAAAAAAAAAAAAAAAAAAGCTGCACTCAATGCCATGTTCTACCAACTTTTTCATTAATGTTATCACAGGTCTGGTTGGAGATACTGAAGCCCATTACAAAGCAAGTAAAAAGTAAGTATGGAAAATCACTTAAGGGATGTAATTCCCAGTGACAGCTTGAAAATATTTCAGCAACACCACACTATTCCTCACCAAATATAAGGGAGAAAAGGGCTTCGATGTATTATTTTAATCCTTTGTGTATCCAGTGAATTTAGCAATTAAAAAAATCGTTTTAATTTTGCCCAAGAGGAAAAAACTCATGCTCCTGGATCTATGCTGGTAATTACAGCACTCTGTGGACTGGCTCGGACTCCAGCACTGCAAATCTTTGAGCATCCTTCATGTTCTCGGGGAAGGAAAAATTTCCTCTGCCCTTCAAGGTCCTTCTAGCCAGACTAAGAATCAAATGGACAGGAGACAGATGAACAAGAGAAATTCAAATTTAATCTCATACGTATGGGGAATCCACACAGGCATGGAAATTCCAAAGACAGGTGAAATGAGGTAAATGTGTCCTCCAGAACTAAGGAGAAGGGGGCAGGGTGTGGGACCTCAGAGGGAAGGAATGCACTTCACAGGAGGAAGAAAAAGTAAATGTTTGGTAAACAAATGTTTGCTGGGCCACTCAGACACAATGGGACATAGAGGACATTGATCAAAAGGCCTAGGGAAGTTCCTCCCTGTCTGCCACACCTAGTTCATGTTATAACGGAGTTATCTCAGGTGATAGCTCTCTTCCTGGTACAGGCTCTTCCTTTCCAGTGTAAATTTAGCCAGTTGAGGGGGAGGTAAAAAGCATTTCCTGAATCGACTGGGTTTTGATTGCTTTTAAGTCAAAATAATCCTATGCCTAAGTGCCCATTTTAGGGCAGGCTGACCTTGGTCCTTATGTCAGTCTGCACTGCCATTTACCTTCTACCCGAAGATGTTTTAATTTTATCCAATGTTACAGACACTGTCCATTTGTTTCATTTCATATTTGAGTTCCATATATGTATGGAATTTTCCCTCCACCCGGATTTCACCACCTAGTGTGGTTGCTTAAATTTCAGTGTGTGTCAGGATCACTTGTTCAAATGCAGGTTCCTGGGCCTCATTCCCGGGTTGCGGGGGGGGGGAGCAGCTTGCATTTTAAACAAATTCCACAGGTGGTTCTGATGCAGGCAGATTTCAGTCAACACTCTGAGAAATGCTTTTTTTTTTTTTTTACATTTTTTTTTTCAACGTTTTTTTAATTTATTTTTGGGACAGAGAGAGACAGAGCATGAACGGGGGAGGGGCAGAGAGAGAGGGAGACACAGAATCGGAAACAGGCTCCAGGCTCTGAGCCATCAGCCCAGAGCCCGACGCGGGGCTCGAACCCACGGACCGCGAGATCGTGACCTGGCTGAAGTCGGACGCTTAACCGACTGCGCCACCCAGGCGCCCCAGAGAAATGCTTTTATTTTTAAGTGTGTTTATTTTGAGAGAGAGAGAGACAGAGCGCGCAAGAGCCAGGGGAGGGGCAGAGACAGAGGGAGAGGGAGAGGATCCCAAGCAGGCTCCACACTGTCAGTCAGCACAGAGCCCGATGCAGGGCTCACTCCCACTAACCATGAGATCATGACCTGAGCCGAAATCAAGAATTGGATACTTAACCGACTGAGCCACCCAGGCGCCCAAGACACGCTGTTTTACAGCGTCTCTTCCCTCGCGTGCTCTCTGGGTTGGGGCTTCCGCACCTCCATCTGTTCCCACCATATTATAATCCCGTGTCACCTTATTCCAACAGCTTCCTAACTGATTCCCCTGATCCATCATGTACACTACTCCAAAGGTAACTATTGAAAATACAAAGCTTACCACATCACGCCCCGGCTGAAAATGCTTCCACGGCTCCTCACTGCCCTTAGAATAAAGCCCAAACTCGTTAGCAGGATCCGTAAAGCACAGACTCTGCCTGCCTTTCTAGCTTTACCTCTGCCATCGACCCCCTTCATACTCCTACCTTTCCTGCCTGTGACAAAATTCACTTCAGGCGTAGGGTTCTCAGATAAAAGATGTCCACCTAAATTGGAACTTCAGGTAAACAAAGAATAATTTCTTTGTATAAGTATTTCCCGTGTGATCATGGTTTATCTAAAATTCAAATTGAACTGGGAGCCCTCTTTTCTCCCTCCTCTGCTTCCCCAGTACTCAACACTGACCTTAGTCTGTGCTGCTGCCCATCCTCCCAGACTATGAGTACTTCATTGTCTTTTCATTCCCGGCACCTGCCTGGTGCAACGCTTGGCCTATAATAGGCACTCCACCAATATTTGCTTTTGATGCAAAGAGTTTCTTTTTTTTTTTTCAAATGCAAGTAGGGGTGAAGACAAGTAATGTGTTTTCTCTTTTTTAAGTTTATTGTGAGAGAGAGAAAGAGAGAGGGCACATGCACATGAGTTGGGGAGGGGCAGAGAGAAAGGGAGAGAGCGAATCCTCCGCACAGAGCCCGATGCCGGGCTCGAACCCATGAATCATGAGACCATGACCTGAGCCGAAGTTGGACACTTAACTGACTGAGTCAGTCAGGCACCCCTAGGTGTGTTTTCTTAATGTCGATTTTAAGCAACAAAGAGGCACCACTCCATACATACACTCACCTCTAGTTCCTTTTATGAGAACCTTGAGTCAGATGATAAATACCTGCTTCTAAAGCTGGGCCTTTCTCTCAGCCAGGAGCGCAGAATCCCAAAGAGGCAAGTGGTATATGTATTTTCTAACTGGGACGCATCATAGAGGACACAGTAGGGCCCAGAAAGAGGCACATGTTTACAAAAAGAAACTCAAAGGGAGAGAGGGTAGAAAGAGGGACAGGGAAACTTTCCCGATTGCTAGCCACATAAAGACACGATCCAGAAATAGCACCATCCTAGAAATGTGGAAAATTGAAATTTAAAAGAAAAGTCTGAGGGAAGCAGTGATGGGGAGAAGAGGGGAGAAGAGAGAGGGAAGTGTGTGTGTGTGTGTGTGTGTGTGTGTGTGTGTGCGTGCGTGTAAATACCTGTAACTGTTGTGATGGACATTTAAATAAAACTTATGGAGATAATTGTGTTTTAAGATCCTAAGGAGGTTGTTTTCAAATTTATGGTGAAATTTTTCCCAGTGGACCCCGGACATCTTCGAGAAGAGCTTACAAGGTAGAGTACTTACCTGTGGGTCGGCTGCATGATGTTACCTAAGACTCATTATTCTCCATTTATCAGGGGATGGGCTTCTAGCCTTCTTTGGCAAGCTTGGCTCTCAGTCACTCTCTGGGAGACGGTGAGGAGCTGAGGAGAAGGAGGGCCTGGCTGGTCCCCAAAGTGTTAGTCTTCCAAAGGGTGGGGATTTCAGGGAGGAGGGGTGGCCTTCTAGCACGGCAGCCAGCCTGGGTGCCCATGTAGGGGTTCTGCCTTTAGCTGCTACAACAACAGGACTGCTTGCCTTCATCGCATCTGTGCTCCAGCTGGAAGGCAGCTCGACGGCACGAATATACCAGCTATGAAAACCTGTGGGTGTGTGTATGCATCCTAATGAGTAGAAAGTGATGACGACACATACTTATAAAACATTGAAAGAGTAAAAAAATAAAAAGTCTAAAAAATGATTTTAATAAATTATAATATATAATGGACATCATTGATAATTATTACAATTCTTTAATAATTATAAATTATTCATAATTTTATGTAATTTTAACAGTCATTTATAATTACACATTATTCATAATTTGAGACAAAATCTTTTATGTGTATAAAAATAAAATTTACAAGTATAAAACATTTAAAAAATCTATTTAAACAAATTAAAAAAAAAATTTTTTTTTCAACATTTATTTATTTTTGGGACAGAGAGAGACAGAGCATGAACGGGGGAGGGGCAGAGAGAGAGAGGGAGACACAGAATCGGAAACAGGCTCCAGGCTCTGAGCCATCAGCCCAGAGCCCAACGCGGGGCTCGAACTCGCGGACCGCGAGATCGTGACCTGGCTGAAGTCGGACGCTTAACCGACTGCGCCACCCAGGCGCCCCCAAATTTTTTTATTTAAGTTATTTTTTAAGTTTATATCCAAGTTAGTTAGCATCTAGTGCAACAATGATTTCAGGAGTAGATTCCTTAGTGCCCCTTATCCATTTAGCCCAACCCCCTCCCACAACCCCTCCAGTTGTTCTCCATATTTAAGTCTCTTATGTTTTTGTCCCCCTCCCTGTTTTTATATTATTTTTGCTTCCCTTCCCTTAAGTTCATCTGTTTCGTATCTTAAAGTCCTCATATGAGTGAAGTCATATGATATTTGTCTTTCTCTGACTGACTGATTTTGCTTAAAAAGTCTATTTATACTTAGATACAATACCCTTCAAAATGACAATGTAAACCTACTTCAAAACTGCATTGTCAACATAATGCTCCCCCAAACCCTACTGTGCTTGCCAGGCTCTAGAATCTTACCCTAGCATGGATATTTGAGATAATCTGGCCCAGCTCTCCTAGTTTACAGAGGAGAAAACAGGTCCTGGGAGCTTTGAGTGATTTGGCCGAGTTTTCCCCCACCTCCCACACCTCCCAACACAGCTCAAGGCCAGTTCTTCTTCACCCCTTTTGTACAGGAGGACTTGTATGCTGCGGGGTCTCTGCAGACGTCACTTTTCACAAGTCTGTCACTCCCTCACACCTTCTCTCTTCCATATTTGTGAGTTGTAGCCCACTTTCCCAGATAACCTGATAATCTTGGTATCTATATCAGTTTGCATTTGCTAACCCATTTCAGTTGAGTCTCACACTGTGACCAATTTTAATGGAGATAAACTCCTCCACCCTCCAAAAGAGAAAGAATGAGAAAATCAATGTGATGATAAATGATTCATCAGCTGTTCAGAGCAAGGATTTGGTATTTGTAGCAGGCAGCTGCCCTCTTAGTAGCAAGGAACGTGTCAAATGACAAGAAGTTTCCTTTTCCTTCTTGCTAGGAGCAAAAAGAAATTCACTTTCCCTTCAGCGATTGAGGCTTATTAATTCTCATTTACATCTCTATTTGAGAGCAGGCAATGGCAAATGTTAGACTTCCTTTATTTTTTCTGGTGGGCCATTTAAGATACTTCACTATAGTTAAATTCACAAGGATGCCTTGTTTGGGGCCAATCCATGAGTTTCTGAGAGTGGTATGCAAATATAAATTTTCTAATTGAATCATTTCTAGCCCATTAGGGGAGCTCATAATTTGAAGTATTACAATGATGAATGCGTTTATAAATTGAATAATCACCTACTAATTTTACCTGCTTGTTCTAATCTAGATTTTTATCTATCCCCTGCAATTAATTTTGATTTACCACATTGCCTTCAAGGCTTAATTGATTTAAATAAGGAAGTCCAGATAAAACTTTATTTAGAAAGTTACATCTTACATTGGGAAATGCCCACAGTACATACTCAATGTGTTTTTCAGTGTATAAAATCAAATATTGGAACCAAATTTGGACCATGGAAGAAAGCAGTCAATGATAGAATCTTCTTTTTACACATCTTTTCAAAACTTGATTCTCCTTTGGTAACAGCTTAAAAGCGTGGGACCAAATGCTATCTCCTTGGCAGAACTCTGGACACCAATCTGTACTTTATGGGTCCCTGATGAGCATGTCGGTGGGAAAAAAAGAACACACTGGGTTCATTCCTTTCAGAACATAGGACTTTCCTACGTGCTCTGTGCAAAGTGCTGGGCTGGTCTCTGATGATACAGAGAAGGTAGTCCGAGTAAAGCATGACCTCAAGTCCTCGATTTCTGAAACACAATATTTTGGATAGGAGGAGGCATAAATTCTGTGGGTGACCTGACTTCTGGCCAGTTTCACTATCTTTGGGCAAAATGACCTTGCCCAAATCACCTAACCTCTGCCTTTCTGTAATTGTAAAATGGGGTGATCATTCCTGCTCTCCCAATCTAAGTTGTTTTGATAGTGAGTGCTCTGATAGCATTTAGTAAACAGAGCCTCCCCAGTGGGCTTGTTCTTGCTGAATCTCCCTTTGTCTCTGGCTGGCTATGTGGCTTTGCTACGTGGCAGAAACCACTGGAGGATGATTGGCCAACTCCCTCAAGTTGGCGGGAGGATTTAGCTGGGGTGATTCCTAATGGCTGTGAGGCCTGCCAAAATGCTGGATCAGCCGAGTTGTGGTCTGGTACCGGTTTGGGGCTGAAGCAAAGCCTATGCATTACTCACCATCCCCAAAAGGCATCTTGCTGACTGGGGGCGCCGTCTCTTTCTTGAAACATCTGGGATCTGGGAGAAGGGAAATGCTTCTTTCTTGTTCTTGTTTCTTAAGAGATTTTCTTGCCCCCCCCCCCCCCAACTTCTTCCAGGTATCTTTTTACTCTTCAAATAAAGAAGGATTTGGCTCTAGGAAGGCTTCCATGCAGTGACAACTCTACAGCGTTGATGGTATCTCACATCCTACAATGTAAGTAGCAAATGTCGGTTTCGGCGCCAATCGACCGGATAGGGAACCGAGCAAAGGAGCCGAGCACGCCCAGCGTGTCCATCCTGTGTTAGGACTTACAGAGGAGAGGAAGGCTGGATAAGATATATGTAGAATCAGCATGGTCCAGGAGAAAGAGGCTAGTCATTGTAGTCATTCAGCTTTGGATTCCAATCCAGTCTCTACTACGACCTAGCTGTTGTCGTCCCCTCACTTGTCTGTGCCTGAGTTTCCGAGTCTTTATAATAGTGACGAGAATACATTCTCACAAGATGGCTATATAGATTAAGAGTAAATGCTGATTTTTTTTTCTATCATGGCGTAACCTCCGGCCCCCCGACCCTCCCCACCCCCCTACCCCCGCCTGGGGCTTGCTGTCCAGGAGCGGGTTTGGACTAATCTGTCCAGACATGGGTTTTGCCAGGCAGGCTCCACTCTCTGTGCTTGCCCCAGGATACATTTCTGGTACGTGCTTTCTGCAGCACATTGTCATGTTTGATGGGATTTTTGTGTTGCTCTTTATCATGAGTCTGGAGAACAAAGCACAGAGTACAGCAGGTGGAAAGAGGCTAAAAGGGAAAAAGGCCCCAGGCATCTATTAGAGCTCCCATTTGCTAGCAGCCAAGTAGTGGGACTAGGCTGAATAATGAAGGCAGGGAAAAGGAGACCAGGGGAACAGTGGGAGCCAGCTTGGGAGGGGGGAAAGCTGGGCAGGCCAGGCTTCTCCTGCAGCCCTGAGGGTGGGTGGGGTCGAGGCAACTGGAGACTGTGTTTCTTCTTATATGGCCAGTGGACTTTCTTTCTCTTCTAGAGAAGCCTTCCAAGAATAGGCTGTTCTTTACCACTTTTGCAGAATCATGACATTGTATTCTGTCTTGTTTCTCGACTTCATTTTTGACCTGTATCCCTTGACCTTCCTGACAGTCCCGAGCTGGTAGATTTCTGATTTCACTGGGAACTCCAGGATGAAGTGCTTCGATAGGGGCAGTGTCTAAATCAGTGTTTACCAAGGGACTGCTGACTGGGGCAGGTGACCACAGCCCCAGGATATCAGGAAAGCACTGGGCAGTGAGAGCAGTAGTAATCAGGAAGGGCTTCTGGAGGAGGTGGCTTTTGTGCTGGTCTTTAAAGGGACACATAGGAATCGGATAGGCCGTGATAGGCAGAGAAGACAGCATAAAAAAGAAAATTGTGCTGGGCCAAGAAGTCATATATACAGAGATGTAGCTCAAGTACAGCTCACACATAGGGTGTATCGAGGAGGGGTGGCTGAAAACTACATGTCATATTGATGGGCTTTGAATGTTTGGCTTGGTGGGCACCAGGTAAGGCGGATAGATGAACCAATGTTGGAAGACTTCTCCTTTTTCGTTATCAGCCTGTGAATGACTGGGGCCCCCACATGGTTGTTGGGGAGCCCAGTTGCATCCTGGATACTTTAGCATTATGGATTTGGGCATTCCCTAGTGGCCATTTCAGGCATAGCACAGAGGACTTCAGCTTTTCCAGAGGATATTTTGTCAATACAAGTTCTTTCCATAGAGAAAAAGCTAAAGTTTCGATGAGTCAGCTCTGCACAATCCATAGGTTGGACTATTTCACTGGATGCTAAGGCAGCGTGTAGAACATCACAAGACTGCTCGTTCATTTGCTCATTTATTCATTTATTCATTCATTCCATATTTATGTTCTAGGCATTCAGCAATCTCCACATTCTGACTTCTCATCTGCTTAAGTCTCTCCTACACATCCCTTTTGTGAACGCTTTTAGTAACTCTTCTTTGTCATTCATTCCAGAAACACTTACTGAGTACCTGCCCCATGCCAGGTACTATTATAGGCATGGGGAACACGGCAGTGAACTAAACAGACACAAACCCTTGCTCTTGTGGAGCTCACATTTTGGCAGTGGAGGGCAATCAGACAATAACCAAAATAAGGAAATATATAATGTATTAGAAGGAGATAAGTGCATTGGAGAAAATAAAGTATGGAAGGCAGCTGGGGAATTCCGGGGGTGGGTACTGAATTTTTCAGTAAGGTAGTCAAGTTAGACTTCACTGTGAACATGACAGTTGAACAAAGACATGGAGGAGGTAAGAGAGCAAGCCTTGCAGAAATCTGGCGGAAGGGTGTTCCAGGCAGAGAGAACATCCTGTGCAAAGGGCCCGAGGGGGGAGTGTGCCAGGGGTGTTGAAGAAATGTTAAGCAGGCTTTGTGGCTGGATGGAACTGAGGGAGAAGGGGAGAGAGTAATCGTGGAGGGTCTTAAAAGCGTATTAAAGACATAGAAGATTACTCTAAATGAGACGGCAAGCCATTGAAGCGTTTTAAGCAGAGGAGTGAAATGATCTGAATTAGGATTTAACAGGACCATGTTGGCTTCCGGGGTGAAAAGAGACCCTGTGAGGGAATGGGAGAAGTAGGGAGACCAGAGAAGAGGCTATTGCAGTAGAGAGAGATGGTGGTACTTTGGGCCAGCCTGGTAACAGGGGTGTTCTCGTAACATTTGCTACCTTCTTTTACTGATGATATTTACTCATTTGTATGTTGTAGGTCTCTTCCTAGATTTTCATAGTCTTGCATGGAATGAAAAACCAGCAGTCTTTGTGTTCTTGTGTTTTCCTAGGGTCAACATAGGCTCTTGTGCTTAATAGACGGAAAGATTGGTGTGTGTGTGTGTGTGTGTGTGTGTGTGTGTGTGTGTTTAAAAACAGCTCTATTGAGGTATAATTTACTTATCATAAAATGCACCCTTTTTCAGACTACAACTCACCAATATTTAGTAAATTTACAAAGTTATGCAACCATTACCTCAATCCAGTTTTAGAACATTCCCATCACACAAGAGACCTCTCGTGCCCATTTGCAGTCACTCCCTGTCCCCATGCTCAGCCCCAGCAACTACTAACTTACTTTCTGTTTCTATAGATTTGCCCTTTCTAGACATTTCAGTCAGAATGATAAAATATGTGGTCGTTTACATCTGGCTTTGTTTCATTCAACATAATATTTTTGAAATTTGTGCAAGTTCTAGGATGAATCACAGCAGTTTGTTCTTTTCTTTTGCTGAGTAGTATTCCATTTTGTGGACATACCACATTTTGTTTAATTTGTGAGAGAGCAGGCAGGGGGAGAATCCCAAGCAGGCTCCACACAGCACAGAGCCCAACGCAGGGTTCCATCTCACAACCCTGGGATCATGACCTGAGCCAAAATCAAGAGTCAGGGGCGCCTGGGTGGCTCAGTCAGTTAAGTGGCCGACTTCGGCTCAGGTCATGATCTCGCGGTCCGTGAGTTCGAGCCCCGCGTCGGGCTCTGTGCTGACAGCTCAGAGCCTGGAGCCTGTATCAGATTCTGTGTCTCCCTCTCTCTGACCCTACCCCGTTCATGCTCTGTCTCTCCCTGTCTCAAAAATAAATAAAACGTTAAAAAAATTAAAAAACAAAACAAAACAAAACAAAAAGCAAAATCAAGAGTCAGATGCTTAACTGACTAAGCCACCCAGGCACCCCAACATTTTGTTTATCTATGTAGTTGATTGTGGACATTTGGATTGTTTCCAGTTTAGCTCATATAAATAATGTTATGAACATTCATGTACAATTTTTGTTTGGACATATTCTCATATCTCTTGAATAGATTTCTAGAAGGGTAATTACCTCATCTTAAGGTAAATATATGTTTAAAATTTTAAGAAGCTGCTGAACTGTTTTCCATTTTATTTATTCTTATTTATTCTTATTATTCTTGTGGCCATTCTAGTGGGTATGAAGAGCTATCTTGCTGCAATTATAATTAGCATGTTCCTAGTGACTAATGATGTGGAACACCTTCTCCTTTGCTTATTAACAATTCCTATGTTTTTGTTGGTAAAATGCCTTTCAAATCTTTGGCCCATTTTTAAATGGGTTGTCGTGTAGATGTCCATTTTTTTGTCGTGTAGATGTCCATTTTCCCTATTTGTTGAAAAAAACTATCATTTCCCTATTGAATTGTCTTATCTTTTTAAAAACCTATTGACCATTAATGTAAGGGTTTACTTCTAGATTCTTAACTATGTTCCATTGATCTATATGTCCTTATGGCATTATTACACTATCTTATTTATTGTAGCTTTGTATTAAGTTTTGAAATAGAGAAATGTATATCCTCCAACTTTGTTCTTTTTCAAAATAGTTTTGCTTATTTTACATCCTGTGCATTTCCATGTAAGTTTTAAGATCATCTATCAATTTCTACAAAAAATTGTGGTGGGAATTTAATTGAATTTATAAATCAATTTTGGCAGAATTACCATCTTAACAAATTGAGTTTTATAATGCATGAACACAAAATGTCTCTCCATTTATATAGATCTGTTAAAAATTTCTCTTAGCAATGTTTTATAATCTTCAGTATACAAGCCTTCTACATCTTTGGGTAAAATTTATTCCTAAGCATTTTGGGTTTTTAGATGCCATAAATGGAATTTTCTTGGTTTCATTTTTGGATTGTTCATTACTAGTATATGCGAATACAAGTGTTTTTTGTACATTGATCCATTTTTCTACGTTGATGAACTCCTATATTACTTCTAGAGTTTTTCGTGGATTCCCTAGGATTTTCTACACACCTGACCACATTGACTACAAGTAAAGAGAAATTTTTTAATGTTTATTTATTTAAGAGAGAGAGAGAGAGCGCGCGCGCGCGCACATGAGCGGAGGAGGGGCAGAGAGAGAGGGAGAGAGAGAATCCCAAGCAGGCTCTGCACTGTCAGCACAGAGTCCAATGCAGGGCTTGAACTCATGACCCAGAGGTCATGACCTGAGCCGAAATCAAGAGTCAGACACCTGGGGCGCCTGGGTGGCTCAGTCAGTTAAGCGTCTGACTTCAGCTCAGGTCATGACCTCACGGTCTGTGAGTTCGAGCCCCATGTCAGGCTCTGTGCTGACAGCTTGGAGGCTGGAGCCTGCTTCAGATTGTGTCTCCCTCTCTCTCTGCCCCTCCCCCGCTTGTGCTCTGACTCTCTCTCTCTCTCTCTCTCTCTCTCAAAAATAAATAAAAATGTAAAAAAAATTTATAAAATAAAAAAGGAAGTGTTTTCAATTTAATAAGCTCTGTTGTGAACATTAAAAAAAAAAAAAAGAAGAAGAAAAAAAGAGTCAGACACCTAACTGACTGAGCCACCAGGCGCCCCAGTAAAGACAATTTTATCTCTTATTTTTCAGTGCAAATTGTTTATATTTTTTCTTGTTGCTTCATTGCACTGACTAGAACCACCAGTACAATGTTGGATATATAACTGGCAAGAACAGATGTCCTTGTCTTGTTTCTGGTCATAGGGAAAAGCATTCAGTTTCTCATCATTTAGTATGATTATGATGCTAGCTATTGGTTTTTCATAGATAACTTTTATCACGTCGAAGAAGCTGCCTTCTATTCCTTGTTTGTTGAACTTTTTAAAATCATGAAATGGTGTTGGGTTTTGCCCAGAGCTTTTCTGCATCTTCTGAAATGATAAATGTTTTTTTGGTCCTTTATTCTATTGACATAGTATATTATATTAATTAATCTTCATATGTTGAACTGATCTTGCAATCCTGGGATACATCCCACTGGGTCATGATGAGTAATCATTTTCATATGTTGCCAGATTCAGTTTACTAGTATTTTGTTGAGGATTTTTGCCTCTGTATTCATGAGGTATATTGGTCTGTAGTTTTCTTATGATGGCTTTGTCCATCACAGTTTTGGTATCAGAGTAATACTGGCCTCATAGAATGGGTTGGTAAGTATTATATCTTCTATTTTCTGGAAAAGTTTGTGAAGAATTGGTCTTTATATCTTCTTTGAATATTTGATAGAATTAATCAGTGAAATCATATGGGCCTGATTCTGTTTTAAAGAGATTTGTACAGTTATCAATTTTGGCAAAAAATAAATAAAATAGCCATTTATTTGGTCTTTTTTTTTTCCTTAAGAAAGCTTGTTATATGAGGATTTTCACTATAATGTGACTTTTAAAAAACATACACCTATATCTCAATGAGCATGTCACCTGTCTAAAATGTAATAGAAAGTCAAGAGACACCTGGGTGGCTCAATTGGTTAAACATAAAACTCTTAATTTCGGCTCACGTCATGATCTCATGATTGGTGGGTTCGAGCCCCGTGTCTGGCTCCTTGACAATGCGGAGCCTGCTTGGGATTCTCCCTCTCCCTCTGTCTCTGACCCTCCCCCTCAAAATAAATAAATAAACTTTAAAAATTAAGAAACAAAAGAAAATCAAGAGAAAAGGCAAAATAAGTTTCCAGCACTTAAAATCAGTGTCCCGTGTCCATGTATTTTAGTCAATAGGCAAGCACCACAGGATTCCATGGAGAATCCATTTACTCTTCCAATTCATAAAACGCTAACAGGTTTGGATATCTAGGTTCCCACTTAGAAGTCATAGTTACAACCAAGTGGAGACCTCTTCAAGGGAAGTCAGTGACCAGGAAGTGATTCATATCAATCTGACAGAGAGGGAGAGGTGTAAAAATGATAAAGAAGACACGGTAATTCAAAAATCAAAACATTTCCAATCCATTAACTGTAGGGGCAGATAATCCTGTACACCTCAATGACCTTTGTAGGCATTGTGCTGACAGATGTTTAAAACAATAAACTGGAGACATCTAGAAAAGAGTAGATTATGATCAGGGGTAAACTGGCTTTGGAAAAGCCAGAATAATTTCCAGAATGATTCATTTCCTAGGGATTCCAGATAGCTAGGGTTTTACTCACTTCCCAGTGTACAGAGTGATGAATAGCTGTGACTGGCTGGCATTGTACTTGGCATTTATATGCTCCTTTTTGGATAATGTACGATCAAGGTAGAGCGAGGTTAGGGGCCTGTATTACTTTGCTAGGGTTGCTATAGCAAAATACCAGAGACTAGGTGGTTTAAATGACAGAAATGTATTTTCTCACACTTCTGGAGACTAGGAATCCAAGACTGAAGTGTGGACAGCTTTGGTTTCTTCTGAGTCTTCTCTGCTTGGATTGCAGATTGTTGTCCTCTGGATGTATCCTCACCTGGTCTTTCTTCCGTGCACTTGCATTCCTGGTATCTGTGTGTTCGAATTTCCTCTTCTTATAAGGACACTAGTCAGATTGGATAAGGGCCCACCCTGCTGACTCATTTTATTTTTTTGTTTTATTTTATTTTTAAATGTTTTTATTTATTTTTGAGATAGAGAGATACAGAGCATGAGCAGGGGAGGGGCAGAGAGAGAGGGAGACACAGAATCCGAAGCAGGCTCCAGGCTCTGAGCCGTCAGCACAGAGCCTGACGTGGGGCTTGAACTCACGGACTGTGAGATCATGACCTGAGCTGAAGTCAGACGCTCAACCAACTGAGCCACCCAGGTGCCCCCTTGCTGACTCATTTCAATTTAATCCCCTCTTTGTAGGTCCTATCTCTAAATACAGTCACAGTGTGAGGTACTGGTGTTTAGAACCTCCACATATGAATTTGAGAGTGCTTGTGGGGCACACACAACTCAAACCGTAACAGGAACTGATGAGAAGAAGAAGAGATCACAAACAGAATGTGGAAGAAGAAACTAATACTCACCTGTGATCCTGGAGCCTTGAAGACCTACACCGTGTCTGTGATTTACTATACTGAGACTTCATAGCAAGCCACTGCTTCTGATTTGAGAAAGACCCAGTTCATTCCACCGTGAACTAAAATATAAAGATACATAAATCATGGGGTGTGGGGCCTAGGGCTATACTGGCTGCAAAGAAGGGGCTGTTTGGGGCAGGTCAGAGCATCTGCCAGGTGCTCCACTGCTTAACTCCTCAATGCTAATGTGAAAAATGTCACTTTTCTGTCGTGCAGCAGAACTGGGAGACTTTCATGAAGAAACAGATAAGAAACATCTGGCACAAACCCGATACTTACCGAACCAAGACTGTTTAGAGAGCAAGATCATGCACTTTCATCAGAAGCACGTGTAAGTACTTCATCTGGCACCTGCTTCTGCTAGTGGGCATGCTGACGCTGGGGACAGGCTCTTAAAAGCAAGTCCTAGGGCGCCTGTGGGGCTCAGTCGCTTAAGCATCCGACTTTGGCTCAGGTCCTGATCTCACGGTTTGTGGGTTCGAGCCCCGCGTCAAGCTCTGTGCTGACAGCTCGGAGCCTGAAGCCTGTTTCGGGTTCTGTGTCTCCCCGTCTCCCTGCCCCTCCCCTGCTTGTGCTCTCTCTCTCTCTCTCTCTCTCTCAAAAGTAAATAAACATGAAAAAAAAAAAAAAAAAGCAAGTCCTTAAGTCAGAGAAGCTTCGAGCTCGAGAAAACACTGAGCTCCTCTTGGAGCCCTTAGGGTGGAGGTGTCATTCTTGCCGCATTTATTAGGCTCGTAAATTCTTTCCCTTTGCAGCGGCAGGAGCCCGGCTGAATCGGACATTCTGCTACTGGATATAGCAAGGAAGCTGGATATGTACGGCATCAGGCCTCACCCCGCCAGTGATGGCGAAGGGATGCAGATCCACCTGGCTGTTGCTCACATGGGAGTAGTGGTGTTACGGGTACCAACTCTTTCCTTGAAAGTCCTGAGGCTGTGGGGGTTACGTTGGCACAAGCGTGGGTGTCCATTCCTGAGGTGACCTCACCTCTCAGTATTACCACCCGTCAGAAAGGGAGGGGACACTTGCCAGTGTCTTGGGTAAGTCTTCTCCCCTTGATGTGCTTTGCCTCCATTTATGGTCTGTAACTGACTGTTTTGACTCACAGGAACTCACACTTTATGGATTTGGGCATCTTAAAAGCTTAGGCTGTGATGCGGAGTGCACTCACCTTATCCGGATGCACCAGAAACAACCCAAAGGGTCCAAAATGTGGTGTTCTCATTCAGTTACTGGTTTCACTGGAGATGCCCACCGTCGGCTGCTAGGCAATTAGAGCCCAGTGTGCCATCAGTTGCTTCTGTTTACTGGTTCATTATTTTCCCAGGACGTTGTTTTTCATGTTAGAAACCAACTCAGGCCTCTCTGGTCCTCTATCATCATGAATCCTCACTCCAAGGAACCTGACCAATCCATTAAGTCTCCTCACATGTGTGAACATTCAATGAATTTAGATACAGGTTAAGGTTCAATTGCCTCACCTTCCAAAATGATAGGCAGAAGGGTGGCTGGGTAGCTCAGTCAATTAAGCATCTGACTATTGATTTCATCTCGTGGTTTATGAGTTTGAACCCTGCGTCCGGCTCTGCGCTGACAGCACAGAGCCTGCTTGGGATTTTCTCTCTCCTTCTCTCTCTGCTCCTCCCTTGCTCATGCTCTCTCTCTGTGTCTCCTTTCAAAAATAAATAAGCATTAAAAAGATGATAGGCAAATAGCTGGGCAAGTTTGGGAATAAATCACTTGTGAGAGAGGAAGGGATGAGCTCAGGCCCAGTGATCTCCAGGACCAAATTAGAGTACTGAAGTAAGTCACAAAGAGTCAGGTACAGACTCAGCTAAAAGAATCTTGGCCTTCTCATTTTTCTGGTTGTAAACTTTGGGGCACGAGAATCACACTCGCGGGCAAAAGACCCAATGGGTCACAGGCATGCCTGTTTACCCACTGCACTGTAAGCCCCAATCCTCACCATTTCCTCCTGCATGGGAAAAAATGGGGGAGGGCAGAGGAGCAAAGCCATCATGTTAGTTGTGACCTCCTCCAGTGTGAATACTTCTGTGGACAGTGTGAAACGGTGTAGCTGGTCTATTTTGTCCTACCCCGAATCCAGTCAAAGAATACTTGTGTACTGAGTACTTCCTACGTGTTCTTCATTCATTGTATTATTATTTTCTTTTTTAAACAAAACCAGCTTTACTGAGATATAATTTGCATGCCATAAAATTCATCTGTTTTAATTGTTCAATTCAATGGGTTTGAGTATTTTTACCGAGTTGGGCAGCAGTCTATTCATTCAGTCTTCTGTCAGTATAGTTATCGTACATCCACCCTATGCAGACGCTAGAGGTACAGAGGTGAGCAGGAATTATCCTGACTTCATGGACCTTGCATTCTAATAGGGGGAAGACCGACAATGAAACAAGTAATTTTATTTGTTATTATTTTTTAAGTTTATTTGTTTTTGACATGAGCATGAGCATGAGCAGGGGAGGAGCAGAGAGAGAGGGAGAGAGAGAGAATCCCAAGTGTGGGGATTGATTCATGAATCGTCAGATCATGACCCGAGCCAAAACCAAGAGTCAGCTGCTTAACTGGCTGAGCCACCCAAACACCCCTAAACAAATAATTTTAAACAGATACAATGTACTTGTGCTTGAAGAAGTGTGGGATGCTATGATAACACATGGGAAGGGACTTGAACATTTAAGCTAAGACCTGAGGAAGTTGTCCAGATCGAAGTGAGGGCTGGCAGGTGAGGGATGGGGTTCCAGACAAAGGGCACACAGACAAAGGCCCCGAGAAGGGTAAAGGATGACATAATCAAGAAACTAACGTTAAGCGTGACCTGTGGCTCCTATAATTAAGACACTCACAATTTATTTTGAGAGACCAGAGCAATAGTGATCAATAGCAGCCAGTAAGTAATCAAAACCTAATTTATCATATTTATTTGAAGTTGTGCAAGTATACACAACAAACTAATAAATGTGGTTATCTATAGAGAATGGATAGATAGGTACAGAGGGACAGAGATAGGAGTGATGGTGATAGGAGCAAGGTTTCTCAATGTCTATATTTCTGTATACCTTTGATTTTTGGAGCATGTGGGCAAACAAATACCGGCTAACCGACAGATCAGCCAACCAACCAACCAACTAACCAACTAAAAGACCTAAATGGTTTGGGAAGTCCACTATAGCCAAGGGAGTTAAGAGGAGTTAGAAATGGGTGTAGGCTGTCATAGTTATACAGAACGCTTTAGCGCGGGTGCTACCAGACTGGCAAGAAAGCTTGGCTATGGGGAAAGCAATTCTAGGTAAGGAGAATGAGGAGCCCTCTCTCTGGGAGGGAAGGTACAGAGTTGGATGGAACACTGTTTTCTAGGATCAGTGGGATAGAAGGCTGAATATTCAATATAGTCGAGGCAGGAAAACCCAGCCAAAAGTGTTTAGACTTGATGATGCATGTAGTGAGGAGCTATTGAAGGTGTTTGAGTAAATGGAGTGGCAGTTGAATGTGAAAACGTAGGAAGGGGCGAGATTAGAGAAACTATTGCAGTAATCCTTTTCTACTGTGATCTCCCCATCCTGGCTGGAAACCTTTCCCAGGTGTACCCCTTCTTGCTGGCATTTCGGAACGGCCCTGTGTCCCACCTGGAATGCCTTCTGCGGCCCATAGCCTCTGCCTAGTACAGCAGGATCAGTATGTGCAAGAGATAGATCAAGGATGGTCCCATGCACAGAAGTGCATTTTCTAGCAGGTTCTCATTGTCTTCCAAACCAGCTTTTGCTGACATTCACCTTGAAGTCTGCCATGTGTTTCATTATAGGGAAATACAAAGATCAATACTTTCAACTGGGCTAAAATCCGCAAGTTGAGTTTTAAGAGAAAGCATTTTCTCATCAAACTTCATTCCAACATTTTGGTAAGTAGCTTTATAATAAATTCTTCTACTTTTGGTTCACTTGGGATTTCTTGGTTGTTTCAGCAAATTGTTTGAATGTGGGTGGTGAAAGCTGGCTGGCCCTGAGGGGTGATGTACTCCCTCTTTTGCCTCTACATAAATAAACCAGAGCGTTAGTCATATTTCTACTCAAGGCAGAACACCAAGAAATCCTATTGACAGTTCAGAACGAATAAAGTAGTAGGAAAATGGGGTGGCTGGAATGAAAGACAAGTCTCCTTAAAAAAACATTTTTTTTTCCAGGGATTTGAGAAGTCAAATGGAAGTGAACAGATCTAGGACTATGGACATATTTATTTGATGTTATCTGCCCCATTTTATAAAGTATTTTCATGCCTCTTCATTAAACAAAAAATAACTGAACACCTACTACATGCCAAATAATTGAACACCTATTTGCCAAAGCAAGACGTAGGGAGCTTTGGGTGTAGATTAAGCAAAAGAAGGAATTGCCGGTCAAGGCCGCATTGTTCGGGGTGAGACAACGATGCTACAAAGGATGTCCTTTTGTGACCATAAAGGAAATGAAAAATGTGTATCAACTCATGTTTTGACCTACAGAAGATTCAGTAGCTTGGGCTGCATCCTCTGGATCTTAGCCTTGCGTAAAAGCGTTTGTTTGAGCACTTCAGGAGACTGTATCCAGTGTGAGGCTTGTGGAGTGTCCCAGGGCTGCATGCAGGAACCTGAGAATGAACAAAAGGAGGTGGGGGGGGGGGGTCAGCAGAAAATAGGGCTGCATGCATGCGTGGGCAAAGGCGGGTATATAGTGGGTCGGAGGATGGAGGAAACTTGAACTTTAGGTCTGGAAGGCTAAGCTCCCCTAAAGCAGATTAGAATATGCTAAGTGAGCAATACAGAGCATTGTCGAACAAGGCAGCATAGAGAGGACAAAGTGTTTCTAGCTGATATGTTAAAAAAGACTCCCACACGTGTAATCATCCTATAAAGCCTACCATCTGTAAGGAAATCCCCTCCCCCCCACCCCGTTTCCTGTTGGTCATTTATAACTTCTTGTCACCTTGAAAGGATGTCCTTTGATGTTCATTTTAACCTAATTTACAACTTCATAAAAAGGTTCCTGGCAGAGAAGTGGGGTGGGTGGGTAAACAAGCGTTTGAGGTGAGGGGGCTGCAAAGCGAGATGGGCTTCTTAGAGAAGGCTCTGTTTTTGAGCAGTGGCCCTGTCCGTTCCTCGGAAGGTGGCCAATCATTTGCTTTTAGTAGGTGTGAAGCCTGTAGGGAGCCGAGTGGAAAATCGGAAGCTGCACGGGCCCTCGGACCGATGGTTTGGATAGCATTGGGATTTGAAGTTCTTTGATAGTCATGAAGGGTGTTTCGCTTAATGGAAATTGGTTTATACAGGTGTTGTGCAAGGACACCTTGGAGTTCACCATGGCCAGCCGAGATGCCTGCAAGGCTTTCTGGAAGACTTGTGTGGAGTACCATGCTTTTTTCAGACTTTCTGAAGAGCCCAAATCAAAGCCCAGAACCCTACTCTGCAGCAAGGGCTCCAGTTTCCGCTACAGGTAGTGAAATATTATTGCACGTGGGCATACTGTACACGCAACTTCTTTTCAGTGGCAGGGAAGGCAGTAGGAGGAGTTGAATTCTAGAAGCAATACAGAATCCGTTTAAGTCACTTAAAGGGTGACACCCTTTACGGCTCATTCTCTGTGTGACACATTAGGTCAATATTTCCTAACCGGGAAGGAGGAGGAGGGAAGCATCCTAGCAAGGGGTTAGATCAGAATATTGGCAAGCATGAGGAGCAGGGAGCAGACACTGTTTGAGAAGACGTATTTAATGAACCTATTGTTTTCTTTATATGAACGTGTATGCAAGCCATGGAAAGGGCAGCTCAACAACATCCGTTTGGTGGTGGTTAGGCAAGAGATAGCGTGAGAAAACACTGGAAGAATGGAAGCGAGGTCAAAATAAGATCTTGTTTTTACTTGAACGCACCAGCCTAGTCACTCTTTGGAAGAGGCTTTCAGAACTCTTAGCTAAGGTAAAAAAAAAAAAAAAAAAATCCGAATTGAATATTTCCCATAGGGGATTTTCAAATAGTGGAGGCCTGCCTCAGTAAGAACTGAGGAGATTTTAAAAACATACATATTTTTGATGGAATCTTTCCAAAATGTATTTTACAAATCCCTGCCTCCTTAAACAGATGATACTGAGCATATTTTGCCCTTTTCTTAATGACCTGAGTTATTATAAACATCACTTATTAACCTGCACAGGCAGCTGTAGTGCAGTGATGGCCTCAGGGCGGGAGAGGAATGTCAGTCCCTGCACCCCAGTGATAAATGGCTCAGAGTTTTGGGGCTTTATTATTTTTGTGATTTCCTTTTTGGCTTTTGTGTTTCTCCCAGCTGGCTTTCTTTGTTGGTGTGTGTCTGGCTGGAGCAAACCTCTTCTAATGTTTTAGTTAGCTGTTTTTCCTCTGTCATGAATTGGGAAACCAGATAAATAGCCTTATTAGAAATTGTGTATGGGGGCGCCTGGTGGCTCAGTGGGTTAAGCGTCCGACTCTTGGTTTTGGCTCAGGTCATGATCTTGTGGTTTCCTGAGTTTGAGCCCTGCATCGAGCTCTGTACTGATAGTGTGGAATGTGCTTGGGATTCTCTGCCCTTCCCTGCCATTCTCTCTCTCTCTCTCTCTCTGTCAGTAAATAAACTTTAAAAAAATATTAAGAAAAAAAGAAATTGTATCTAAATTTGTAGGTAGGGAAAAGGCCTTCATAGGAAAGTATATTAGTTTTCAAGGCCAGATTTTTTAACTGTTATATAGTCCTGTTCAGAAGCTTTTAAAAATTTCCTGGGCTCTGCGTAGATGAGGTTGATATATGCCTGATATTTGGATAAGTGGGTATTATTCTTAATTACTGTGACGGTCAAAGATTCATGGCATATGTCATTCATGTGGACTCGACTTCAGCAGTAAACGAAGCTTTCAAGTTTTAGTAGCCTACTGGCTTATGGCTAGTGTTAATAAAATGTCTATCTCGGGGCACCTGGGTGGCTTAGTTAAGTGTCCAACTTCCACTTGGGTCATGATCTCACAGTTCGTGACTTCAAGCCCCTCATTGGACTCTGTGCTGTCAGCAGAGAGCCCACTTCAGATCCTCTGTCCCCCTCTCTCCCTGCCCCTCCCCCACTCACACTCACTCTCTCTCAAAAATAAACATTAAAAAATTTTTTTAAGTGTTTATTTTTGAGAGAGAGAGAGCAAGCAGGGGAGGAGCTGAGAGAGGAAGACACAGAATCTAAAGCAGGCTCCAGGCTCCAAGCTTCCAACATGGAGCCCGACGTGGGGCTCGAACCCACGAACCGCGAGAACATGACCCGAGCCGAAGTTGGACGCTTAACCGACTGAGCCACCCAGGCTCCCCCCATCAAATCTTTTTTAAAATAAAATGTCTGTCTCATTCTTAAAATAGCGGAAGAACCCAACGGCAGCTTTTGGAATATGGAAAGAAAGGGAGGTTGAGGAGCTTACCATTCGAGAGGTACATGGTTTTCTCTCTCTCGCGTTGATTTTAAGTTGAATTAGAGAATTACATATGTTCTGTAGGTGCATGAAGACCATTTCAATTCCTTCTCTGTTTGGGGATTTCAGGAAACATTACCCATCTCAGTACCATGAACGGCAGTGCAGGTCGTCACCAGACCTCCTCTCTGATGTATCAAAACAAGTAAGGTTTCTGAAAATTCTTTCTGCTTTAGATAAATGTAATGCATCTACATTTCAAATGCTTTTAAGATTTGATTCTGCCAGAATCTCCCAGTGTGTAAAAAGGTGACTGTTTGAATAGGCTGGTCTCCTAGGGAGATCTGTCAGCTCAGTCTTTCCAGCCAATAGAAGACCATTTAATAAATGACCACTGGTGTGTACCTCATAGACTGGAAGGATATGGCACATTTTTATTTATTTATTTATTTTTTTAATATACGAAATTTATCGTCAAATTGGTTTCCATACAACACCCAGTGCTCATCCCAAAAGGTGCCCTCCTCAATACCCATCACCCACCCTCTCCTCCCTCCCACCCCCCATCAACCCTCAGTTTGCTCTCAGTTCTCAACAGTCTCTTATGCTTTGGCTCTCTCCCACTCTAA